AAATAAATAATGAGCCAACATGTTCAAACAAGACTTTTTTGTGTTCAACTCTTTTAGAAAAAGAGTTCAAAATAACTTTTAATATCATCTCACTTAATGAACGAATCAAACATGAGCTTCGTAGGGGCCGAACACAAGTTGTTGGCAAGTGTTGAGCGTTTTGGAATGGTATAAAAGTATAAAAACTTCTTTGAAATGGTGTATAAAAGTATAAAAACTTCTTTGAATTTACTTGTTTATGTACAAAGCGTAGAAATATATATAGACTTTTTAAAAGCATTAAAATGAAAATAAATCAAAGCTAATTAAAAAATAATCTCCAATAGGTGGTGGTGACTAGAAGACAAAGAGGACGCATACAGATTGCAATCTAAAGGCGGCAAGAGAATCCGCAATCTATGTGTTCACAGATACCTACCACGATTAATTAACTTTTAGATTACACGATTATTCAACACTCCCTCTCAATTTGAATGGTATGAATTTACCATATCAACTTTGATTACATATTTTTAAATGTGGGATTGCAAAATTCTTTAGTGAGAATGTCTGCAAGTTAATTTTCTATTAGCATATATAGAGTATAAATCAACACACCTAATCAAATTTTCTTTTATAAAGGATTTATTCAACTCTACATGTTTGCTACGCGCATGTCGCATTGGATTATAAACATTGAGCAACAATGATGGAATATTTATTACCACAATATATCCTCATTTGCCCCTCCCATTTGATTTCTAAATCTTTCAAAATGATTTTGATCCACAAAACTTGCAAATTCAATAGCTCTAAATTCATATTCAACATTAGATCATGAAACAATAGGTTGTTTTTTTCTCCTCCATGTTGTAAGTTTTCTCCAAGATATGTAAATGGGCAAACTCATTCTAGTTTCCCCTATTTAGATAATTATAATTTTGGGGTTACAAGTACAATAAATTTCCTTTATATCTCATTTTATTGCTAATATATTTTTGTGGATGAAATTGATCATTGGGTTTTCTTTTGACTCATTAAATTTTTAATCCAAATAAAACATGTTCAAATAAAACACTATTATAAAAATATTTTGAAATAAGATATTAAAAGATAAAGCTAATTGAATAAGAGAATATATCCATCAAAGATATGCCAATATAAATGCTGAACCAAAAAATAAATGATCTTGCTACAAATAATGTGGCAAAAAAATGCTGAGAGATATCAATGCTTCAAAGAGAATGAATAGCTTCATCAAGCAATTCTTGAGTTGATGATCATTTCAAATTAAATTTTAATATATTAAAAACCTTTATGTGGGAAAAAATGACTAGTGATATTAAGAATATTGCAAAAGATGTCCTTGGAGTATCAAAGGAAAAAGCTCATAATAGTAAAAGTAGTTGGTGGTGGAATCCAAATGTGCAAGAAAAGATTCGAAATAAGAAGCTTTGTTATAAAAATTGGTTTAATTTTAAAAATTCGAAAATTTTGACTATCAGTTTCAATCCTATAATTAAAAATGTAGTAGAATTCACCCCTTTGTGCTCAGAGTTGCATAGTACTTCAGGTGTCTAGCAGTTATACTCAATGAAAATGTAATACCTCTACTATATAAGTCAACAACATTTTGTTGTTATCTAAATGCAATCATAGAGAGATCAAACTAGTACCAACTAGTGTTATCGATGAACTTTATAAATTAACTCACTTCATCATCATATGAATTCAATAATTTAGAAGCACAATCAAAATATGCATTAATATCTTCTCAAGCCTTCATAATGATTTGAATGTCAGTTATATGATGCTAATTTACACTTTAATATGATACTTTTATTATTGCTTCTATTTAAAAACAATAAAAATCATTTTTTTATATGCCAAAAAAAAAACCTAAACATGGCAATTTTCCACAAATTTTTAGAAAATGGAGATCTCAAAAAGAACAACTGAAAATTAATAATTATATATTAAAAGTAATTAATTTTTAGTTTCGATTCACAGAGGAATGGATAGAATAACATTTTTAATTTAATTTCTATTCCAAAATGTTATGATAACAAAATATATTAAATCGTGTTAAAATGAGAATCCACTTAATTTTTTAAGGAAATTCAAAAGAAATATCAGCCACGTGCCTGATGGGCACATACACTTTTACTAGTTTCTTGAAATATGAATTTGCTATTCCAAGGTCATCAATTTCTGCAACATCATGAACAATTTCTCTTATTGCATCTTTATCTCATATTCTATATCCACCATAAATCCTCACATAGAACATCCTACAAGAACCAATATGTCCATTTAAATCACCATAATAAATATCCATTCTTCATCAGATATGCATTGTAGGAGTTCACCCTTATCTTCCTAAAATTGAGCTATTAAAACTTCAATAATCTAACTTAGGGAGCACAACCATTAACCACATTAATAATATCATCATCAATAATTATGCTAATAACAATCACTACATCACTAATCCTATTCACCTTAACAATCTTGTCTTTTAAAATTCTATCTATTATTTTTCCAACCCTATGTTTACAGTTATTCATCTAACTCACAAAATAAACTGCATTCAGAAACATATTTGTGAAATAACAGGGAAGCCAGCAAGGCAGAGAATTCACCCAATTCTGTGTGTTTTTCTGTGAAACTGAGAATGTAGGATTCATCCCATTGGAACTGGCTTCCTTGTACTTCTTGTAGGAAGCTTCAATGATGTTAAGCAAAAAAGCACTGCGCCTAAAAAAATTTTCATCAAATGAAACATTTTTAACTTCAACAAATTATAGCTACCAAAAAAAGAACCCAAACCCTTCCGCCACATGTAGCGGTGCAGCAGAAGAAGAGCTCAATTGGGTCCACTTGCTCCACCATCAACGGGTTGGATTAGGTACTAGGATGACTCTATTAAGGAACCCATTACACATTTAAATCAACATAGTTTTGACACAAATGTTTAAGGAGCATAGTTCAAAAAACATATAAAAGTATGATTTCCAACAAGACTGTGTTATCAATGGATGCTTAACTTGCTTGGCATTCATAAGAGCTAAAAATGTAACCTCAAGAAAATCATAGGAAGCAAAAAAGGAACTCGATTTTAAAAAGATGATGTAGAATTAAACCTCAATGTACCCATGTGGTTTTTTCAGCGCATGCTTTCAGTAGGCGAAGAGGTGATTTTTCTTCAACATACCTACATCAATAAAAGAAAAAAAAAATTTAAGTGCGTGCTTCAAGTTGGCAGAAAGGTACCTACATCAATGTGTTAGAGATGTAAAACCAGTTTGTAAGATGAAAAGCATCATAGATAAAAAATAATAATCCACTGGATAAGAGTTGCTTCACTATTACTATGCAAAGCTATAAAAGAAGAGCAAAAATTTTCCATCTACAGAAGTTTTAGCTATTTCACATAAAAAGACAAAATAGCACTACAAAGAAGTAACAAATGCTGAATATGTAACAGTAAACCTGCTTAGTGCAAAAACTCACCGTGCTGTCCTCCATGAGATCCCAATAACTTCATTTATGGGGAGCTTGTACCACTGAATCTGTCAATGATTTACGTCAATGAATGAGGCTAATGCATATAGCACTACATAATGGGCAAAATATAGCAATTTGATTCAAGATTGCAAACAAGTTACCAAGATTATTTGTGACAGATTAAATAGAATAGCACCATTGGGCATGTAGTCCTTGTATTGGTGGGGTTCAAATCCTTGGAGAGAGAGAGAGAGAAAGACTAATGCTGGATATGAAATGGCAATCCTGCTTGGTGCAGAGAATCCTAGAGCCAAAAGAAGCATTGCAGTCTCAAAACCAAACGGAGCTATGCGTCACCTTACCAAAACGGGTTCTCACTGAGGAGATAAAAGAAAAGGGCAGAACATGATTTGCCTCTCATTTAAGCCTTCCTTTGTCAAATGTGTCAAATTTATGAACCAAGATTCACATAGAATAGCATTACTCCACAAGCCAAGAAAAAATAAAATAAAATATTGATTTCAAGATTACACAAAAAGGTGAGGCCTAGGTTATAAAAAGTGTGACACCCCCTCAAGATAATATGGCTGTGAGGCACCAGGCACCACCCTAAGCATCGCACAAGAGAAGATGACTTTACACTAGATAACCCTATTTAAATGAGAATTTGACTCATAACAAAAGCATTCCTATAAGTGACCCCACATAATGGGATAAAGGCTTGATGTTGTTGTATAAAAAACATGAAACTATGTTATGAAATAATGAATTCAAATATTCAAGGCTTACTGATTCACACTCTTGCCAAGTGAAGTATCAGAAACAAAATACCAAAATAAACATGTTTAAATTACTTATTTAGTTAAATTAAAGCTTATAGCATGCATACCCTAGGGATAATCTTCTCTTCACTCATCAATCTCACCATCATCCACGCACTCTAATTCATCATCCTCGAGTTACTACTATAGATTTTCAAGGATTTTCACCAAAATTTGATCTAACTTGTTAACTAATAAGCATATTTGTTTCTACAACTCCAATCAATTTTCACAGCTGCCCAAATTGTAATCATTATAAAACCAAATCACCTTATACATTTGAAGTATTAAAAATATAAACTCCAATCAAGAAATTTGCATATTCACATAATAGAAGTTGACTTCTGCCAGGTGGCCAAGGAAAAATAAACAAAAAAGAAATGAGAATCTTTCTAGCAGTAAAAGGAATCCTGCAAAAACACTTTAACACCCCCCACACCCCACACACAAAAAAAGAACTCCAGCTAGCAAAAGATTATACTCCTTGGAAAGAAGTGCAAAAACATAAATAGAGGCAATTCATAGAAAAGGTTTATCAAGAATACTGACCTAGTAAATAAAGAATACTTGAAGTTAGCATAAAGGGATTGTATCAAGGATAGCACAGGTAATCCTTTTATAATAATTTCAAGTGCCTCATTCCGCAACAGCAACCAGTTATAAATATAGCAATAAGGCCAAGCGGAATAACAATTCGGAAAAAGAAAGGTTTGATAACTTTCTGGTTTTAATGTATATCATGGATCCAACACATATAGTGCTTATCAAAACCAGAGAAAGAACAAAAAAGAAAAACTATTGATACATGACCAGGTTGCCAAATGAATAAGAGTGTTCAGCAAACTAAGAGATCAGCAAAAAGGTGGAACAATAATTGATACACTGACTGCAGAAAGAAAACTCAAAAGGATTCCAGCATCCAATAGCTCAAGCATAAGACAGATAATATTGGCTTAAACCTTCGCAGGAGTCTACTAATGAATTTATGATAGTTTAACTACTATCACACAAAATCTTCCCTCTGCTCATCAGAAGCCTTTGGAGAATTCTCAGGTGTCTTCAGCGCAATAGCCTTTTTCCCCTTATGTTCGGTCACAACACCACTGAACTCCTCCACAAAACTACTGTCTTTAAATTTCAGAGCACACGTAGTAAGACCAGACCGCCCTTCACCAGCAATATTGATACAGGAAAAAGTAATGCCTTTCTTATCCATATTGGCCAGTGTCATGTCTGGGTAAAGGCTAGCATTCAAAATCAATCTGTAATTACCCCTAGCCCTCATTACAAGCCTTGCCTTCTCACCTGACATAGAAGTATTCACCTTAATTTCACCCCTTCCTCGTTCTTTCCAAGAACCATCTAGATATTCATAAAGTGTAGCATCTGCAGTAAATACTGAGTTCTCATTCTCCTCGCCTGTCTCAACAGCAACCTCCTGCAATGAAGGTCCACCATCTGCTCCAGTCTTACCAGCATCAATCCCAGAAAAACCAAATAGGGGCAAGGAAGAAGTTCCATTGTTAGAGCTCGCAAAACTGAAGGAACCAAAAACAGAACCCTCCTTTACTGACCCGAAGGAAAATGAGGAAGTTCCAAAGCCAGTTCCCGAAAGGCTAGTAAAGGCATTTTGGCTGCTAGACAGGTGCTGAAACGAACTAAAAGTTGAAGCAGTGCCTGACGATTCTTTCATATCATTTTCCTCTGCCTCCCTTTTTTCGATTTCTGCAACTTCCTTCCCAGATATTTTTCCATCTTCCTTCTGGGTTTCTTCACAAACGTCCTTGGGTTTTTCTACAGCTTGGCCATCAGCTTCTTCAGTGTTTTGGTCATCCAGATCGCCCCTCAATTGTCCATCAGCTCCATTATTGTCGTATGTTACCCCTACAGCAGGTTCCAATGATTGAAACACTTCTTCCACTGCAGTGTTGCTCACTATTTCATTGTTAGTAGATTCCCTTGTACCAGTATTGCATTCTGAATGATTATTGGTCTTTCCTGCTCCATTTGGCTCATCAAACAAAACACCACTTTTAATCTCATTGTGTTCTCCGTGTTTATCACTAGCACTGTTCGATTCTTCTAAAACAGTTATGTCGGCGGCAGGGTTTTGAGGCTCAACTTGAGCAACTGCTTTTACATTTGGTTCAGTTGAGGAAACCAAGCGGATCCCAGCAAAAGGATTTGATGAAACACTTGATACAGGCTGTTGACGTCGAACTTTCACAATTCTCCTAGTTGCCAGCACTTCTTCACTGGCCTTTTGGAAAGTTCCCATCTCTGATTCCGAAGTGTCATCATCAAGCTCCGGATTATCTTTAGAGATCTGCCTCCCTGCAACCCTCTTCTTTGATGAAGATACAGCATTTTCAGCATCAGCCATTTAACTAAAACCACAAAAACTGTTAAAAATGGGTGATGCTGAAGAAGAAATACACTCCACCTGCACAAAACTCCACCAATCATTATCATATCATAGGCATACATAATGTAGAAAAAAAAAACAATGAGTTTACATAAATGAAGAAGGATAGAAGAAACATGGTTCACAATCTTGAATGAAAACAGAATCAAATACTAAGTTTGAAAATTTTGTATTACTTGACATGACTTCAGTGTACAGTTCTCTGCTCCTAATTATCAAAGAACAGATCAAATCTTTCCTAACAATGTCCAAACTCCAAACACATTAACCACTCATCATTACTTTCCGACCAAACCCTACATTGTGTCTTTCCTCCTATTTTTCCACTGCACAAAAAAGACAGACACCATAACTAAAAAAATTGATCCACTATCACTCCAATTGCAAATCCTTCAGGACCATATCAAAATCTCCCTCCCACTGCAAAATAAAAGAGAAAATTTAACTCTCAGTAGTTTCTCTGGTATATCTTACTTCTTTTGTAAATAGTTTGCTTCCTGCAATCTTCTTTTAGATCTTTAACTAACCTAAAAATTTGAACTATCTCCGACCAAAAAATAATTTGATATAGATTTCGGTGCAATTTTTTATTATGTTTACAAAATACCAACAGATAATATGATTTAAGGTCAATAACACCATTTATGTATGTAAAGCTTAATTTAAAAAAAAATGTAGCATTATATTCCTTTAAAAAACAAGCTGTTAGGTTTAACATTAAGCATTCTATATTCCCATGAAAAATAAAAATACCTTTGTTTGACACAAATGCGTTGAGGTGAGCAGAATATATATATATATATAGAGAGAGAGAGAGAGAGAGAATTATTTTTTAACCATAGTCAACCATACAGGACAAATCAGAAAATCTTTAATAAGAGGTTTGGACCAAAATATGTTAGAGAAAATAGCAAAAACAAACTACAAAAATGGAAGTGGCTAGTTCAGTATAAAGCATAAGTGGACGCACGGTGGGGGCCCTGGGGTCACAGCCCCCCACTAGCCTAACAAATCCCGTCTACTTTTGGGAGATATTTTAAATTATCATATATGAATTAAAAAAATTAAAAAGCAATTTACTATAAGTGAACCTAAACTCCGTTCAGATTTCACATCCGTCCTCCTCCTCTCCCTCTTGGCTTCTCTCCACATGCAGCGTGCCTTCCATAAATTTTTATTTTTTATTTCCAATTACGATCCTGTTGTTTTTTAAGTCTAACAATTGAGAAATGGCAGATCAAGGATGCGGCACCCGGCATATCAAGTAATATAGGAGGCGGCTCTCACTCTCTGTAAGAACTCTTTATAGTAATTGTGTCAGAAAGAAAAGTAATTTTTGTCGAAAAAAAATCTTGTTATCTTGTTGATGCTATTCTTTTTAATTAAAACCTACAGGTTGAAACTCTATATAATCTTCTTTTATAATGACAAAACATTGTTGGAAACTAAAGTTATAACTTGTAAGCTTTAATATAGGATTGACCATAATACTGCTTTATAATTTAAATTAAAATTGTTGCTATTGCATTAAATTGATTAACACATTTCTTTATTTTTGTTCATAGGAAGTTTATAAAAGTGATACAAATATATTGGACTAGTGTATTGAATATATAAAGAGAATATTCTCCACTGTAACTTTTCTTTGTCCTATATTTATCTTTTTTAATAATGATGCATTTTAAAAATAAAAATTAAACCGTCAATGCTGGTCCCAAGCCCGGTTGAAAAAGGTGAGGGTTCCTTTTTAAATCAATGATTTGTGCCCCACAAAAAATAATCCTGGCTCCGCCACTGGTATAAATAATGAAATAAAAAGCAAGATATATGAGATGTCCACAGGTGGCTACGATAGCATAAAGAAACAAAAAATTAGATGGTAGCCAAAAATTAATCCCCTATGAGCTTAACTTTAAATCATAAACAAATAGCTAAATATGAATTCAACGGAACTATTGATAAGGCATATTCATCAAATGTAGAAAATGAGAGAAACACTTTGGACACAAAGGGTTGATTGTGGGAATCCGCATGGAAGCGCAGGATTATTACATCCTAGCAAATTTAGTGTAAAAAAAGACAGCTGATATATTGACAACATATTTATAAAAAAAAAAATATTCAAAGCATCAATGTGGAAAGCATACTGAACTTCAGAAATAAAGTGCCACGGGAGAACTGGAATAAGAAAGTCATGCAATTGAGCAAACTATATTTATAAGGAAGACAGATCATCAATGACTTTTCTTTTACAGAAACATTTAACACCATAAAAGGGCACATTTCACTGTGCTGATAAAAGTGACAAAGAACGCCGGTCTCATTGAGATAGACCTATAAAATAATAGGATTATTGCAAATGTGAAAATTCGACCTTTGCCTTTAAAATTACATATCAAACCATGTCTTGCAATGCACTGAACTGCGATATTTTTCCATTTGTTGCTTGGTTTCATGCATAAAATAGAACATTTTCAATATTATTTCTTTAAGGAAATGAAGGAATTTCTTGGCTTGCTAAACTTTTTAATATTATTTTGAAGACTAAAAAGATGTCATATGAGTGGAGAATAAGTGTGTTGATTTCTATTTTTTAAAAATAAAGGTGATGCACAAGATTGTGCGAATTATAGAGGAATTAAGTTAATGTGTCATACTTTAAAACTATGAGAGAGAGAGTTATGGAGCATAGGTTGTAGTGTGATGCTAATGTTTTTCAAAATCAATTTGGATTCATACCGAGTATATTTACTATGGAAGCTATACAAATTATTGAGAGATTTGACGGAGAAGTATAGAGAGAATATGAAGGATCAACATATGATATTTATTGATTTAGAGAAATCATATGATAAAGCTCCAAGAGAAGTGCTACGGAGAGTTCTATAAAATAAAAGATTAATAATGCTTATATTCAAGTCATTAAGGATATGTATGCATGAGCTGTTACTTGTGTTCAAACACAAGGTGGTTTGACCAAATATTTTCCTATTTCAGTTGGATTACATCAAGGAACAATATTACTTCTTTAATTAAAAATAAAAACCATGCAAAAAACTAAGGTATTTAAAGGTTTTGGGAAACTAAAGTGCGCTCCTATGTAGTTTTGTTGGGCTATGAAATCCTTGTGTGTTCCAACAAGTACAATCAAAATGTTAAAAGCATAAGCCTTCCAAATAGCTCAGCTAAAGACAACTAGTTGAACAGAGAGCTGAGTTCTAGCACATCATACTTCAGCAATTTTCGCCATATTAGCAACAAACTCAATAGAAAAAATTAAGAAATAATTAAAAAAAGAACAGATGTTCCGAATGAATACAACTAGGCTAGTGAGAGCAAGCAACTTTCAGAATGAATGAACAAATCCTATCGATAACTCGCGCCAACTTGTCTTAGCTGTGCCTGAAGTTAGGGTTTAGATAAAATAACCAGATTGATAGCATAAAGAAACAAAAAATTAGATGGTAGCCAAAAATTAATCCCCTATGAGCTTAACTTTAAATCATAAACAAATAGCTAAATATGAATTCAACGGAACTATTGGTAAGGCATATTCATCAAATGTAGAAAATGAGAGAAACACTTTGGACACAAAGGGCTGATTGTGGGAATCCGCATGGAAGCGCAGGATTATTACATCCTAACAAATTTAGTGTTAAAAAAGACAGCTGATATATTGACAACATATTTATAAAACAAAAAAATATTCAAAGCATCAATGTGGAAAGCATACTGAACTTCAGAAATAAAGTGCCACTGGAAAACTAGAATAAGAAAGTCATGCAATTGAGCAAACTATATTTATAAGGAAGACACATCATCAATGACTTTTCTTTTACAGAAACATTTAACACCATAAAAGGGCACATTTCACTGTGTTGATAAAAGTGACAGAGGACACCGGTCTCATTGAGATAGACCTATAAAAGAAAAGGATTATTGCAAATGTGAAAATTCAACCTTTGCCTTCAAAAATACAGATCAAACCATGTCTTGCAATTAGGGGTGTTAATTCGGGTCAGCAGGTCGGGTTCAGGTCGAACTCGAAACTGACCCGGCACTGTTCGGGTCAACCTGAACCCGACCCGTTTTTAAAAACGGGTCAGGTTTCTGGACCCGAACCCAACCCGATTTGGGTCCAGGTCAACCCGACCCGACACGAATGACCCGAAGTTGACCTAAAATTTCTAATTTTCGGGTCAAAATCAGGTAAAAACGGGTCAATCTCGGGTTTTCGGGTCAAATATGAGTTTTTGTGTCACTTTCGGGTCACTTTCGGGTTAATTTCGGGTTGCTAGGTCAACCCGAACCCGACCCGATTTTTAAAACGGGTTGATTAGGGTTTAGGGTCGTGTTTCGGGTCACTTTCGGGTCATATTTCCAAGAGAAGTGCTACGGAAAGTTCTATAAAAGAAAAGGTTAATAATGCTTATATTCAAGTCATTAAGGATATGTATGCATGAGTTGTTACTTGTGTTCAAACACAACGTGGTTTGACCAAGTATTTTCCTATTTCAGTTGGATTACATCAAGGATCAATATTACTTCTTTAAGGAAAAATAGAAACCAAGCAAAAAACTAAGGTATTTAAAGGTTTTGGGAAACAAAAGTGCCCTCCTATGTAGTTTTGGGCTATGAAATCCTTGTGTGTTCCTACAATTACAATCAAAATGTTAAAAGCATAAGCCTTGCAAATAGCGCAGCTAAAGACAACTAGTTGAACAGAGAAGCTGAGTTCTAGCACATCATACTTCAGCAATTTTCTCCATATTAGCAACAAACTCAATAGAAAAAATTAAGAAATAATGAAAAGAAGAACAGATGTTCCGAATGAATACAACTAGGCTAGTGAGAGCAAGCAACTTTCAGAATGAATGAACAAATCCTATCGATAACTCGCGCCAACTTGTCTTAGCTGTGCCTGAAGTTAGGGTTTAGATAAAATAACCAGATTACCCTCGCAAAAAAGAAAAACCTTCAACAATAAATGCAAAAATGAAGCTGAAACGGGTAGCTATGCGAAGAAATTCGATAAACAGCGATCTCAAAAAAAACTACTAGAATTTTGAAACCGAACGGATCGGAAAATAAGGGATTTTGCAAAATAACAACTAAAGACCATAACAGCATTAAAAAACCTTGAAGAATAAATAAAGAAGCAGTAACTAGAGAGTAATATTACCAGAAGTTTATTAGGGTTCCGTTCTTCTTTCGCGCAGAAGGGTTCCGCCACCTCCGTCAAGAAGCAGATGTGCATCAGAAGGAGACCGAAGCATAAAATAGTATATCCGCCGTCCACGTGGTATTATGTTTTATGATGTTGTGTGCAGTGTAGATATAGTTCTTTATTATTTTTTTAATAATTTTAAGTTTATTTTTATTTTGTTATTTTAAAAATGAAAAAAAAAAATTTATAAATCCGAACATAAATTAAATAAATATACATATTATTTATTTTCTTTATAAGATGTGCCTAAAAATTTCTCATATATCTAAATATCATAATAAGGAACTACTTATTGTTTGATTAAGTGATAAATTAATGTAAAATAAATTGAACGTAATATATATATATATGTAATGGAGTGTAAAAAAATAGTTTAGTCACATCTAATTATCATTTAAAATTTATAAAAATATCTTTAAAAAAATAAAAAATTACTGTAGCAGAGCATAATTATATTTTTACATCTTTTTATTTTTTTTAATTAAATTTATATTATTCAAAGAAAAATATAAATAACTTTAATCAAAATAGCCTCACTTAGCATGTGATCAATTTTTTAAAATATATATTCAAACTGCAACACCAAACGAGCCATAAGATGTAAAATTTTAATAAATTATCTTAAAGATTAATAAAGTTAATGTAAAATAGATATCATTTGTGAATATCAAATTATAAAATTAAAGCATATAATAATTAACAATGATATTAAAATTAATGTAAAAAAAATGGTGGAGTAGTGAAGATTATTCTCACAAAAATATTGATTTAAAATATAAATTAATTTGAGTGTCATTTTTAAATAATTAAATTTAATCGAAATTAATAAAATGAAAAGAAAAGAAAAGTGTGCTCAGCAATATTACGTCCGGTCACCGGACGTCCGGACACTCCATCCAGACGTGTCACGTCACCCGAATACACTGGATCCCGGTGTATTTTGGTGACGTGTCGCGTCTGGATTGGTGTACGGATGAATCCGGACACCGGACATAATAATTTGCCTGTCGGTTAAACAGGAAAGTTGTTATAGTACTTCTAAAAACTTTTTAAAAAAATTTCAAATGTTGATTAGATGCTGACTAGGTAAGTAAGTCGCCAGTTCAAATGTCTATTTTATTTTTTTTTATAATGTACTTAATTACATAATTTAATTATTAACAATACTTAGATTAAAAATTTGCCCGATATTAATGTTGTTTTTTTTTTCTTTTTTTTGATAAAGATTTTTAAATATGAATACTTAATATAAGATGTGAATTTAATTTTAAATTTAATACATTAATAAATAAGATTATTTATCCCTAAATATTTACTTAATCGAGTAAGCTCGCAAGCTAGCGAGCCGAGTCTTATCAAGTTTGAACTTGAGCACCTTTAATATATGAGTTCGAGTTTGAGTTCGATCTCGAGTTTGAGGATTGATAAGCTCGGCTCACGAGCTCATTAGCAAGTCAAGTTCGAGCTGGCTCGCAAGCCTACACCCCTAGTGAAACATAAAGTTTAAAGATGATGGGTGGTCCAAGGTTATTGGTGGCGATGGGTGGCAGTAGCCCCCTATGGTGGTCTACGAAAGAGAGTGCTAACATGTATAAGCCAGTGGCTAGCGGCTTATTGCGACGGTGGTAGCAGGTGGCGATGGATCGGTGAGTAGTGGTCGGTGGTCAAGGCCGATGGTGGTCAATGGTAGACAATGTCGACGAAGAAAGCTGGCAACTACAATCATAGCAGCCTCTTATGTGCGATGCCGACCAGCAGTGGCTTGAGGCCTACGATGGGGGTGGTTGGTCTCAACAACGATGGTGATGGTAGTTGACGGTGATAACGATGGTAGTAGGTGATGATTATGACAACCAAGAATGACCAGTCAGTGGTGGTGGTGGAACGGTGACGGCAATGGTGGTCATTGGGTGCAAGCAGTTGCATATGCGATAAATTTATGATCTATTTGTCAAGGTTATTAAAATCTAACCGGACCTTCCGAATCGTGAACAGGTCAACAGATCAGTTCATGTTTTGCATAATTTTGAATTTGCATTGAACCATCCAAGAAACGCTCAGACCGGCGGTCAAACCAGCGAACTGGCGTCGGTTTTCCAAAACCAACCAGTTTAAACGTAGGAAATTTTGATCTCTTGGATTATGATCACGCGATCTAGACTCACATTTCACAGATAACAAAAAAAAAAAAAAAAAAAAAAAAAAAAAAAATCTAAATTCCTTTGCAATCCATTAATCCCTTAGTTCGTTTGAACTCCAAACGAAGGTCATGTATAGCCTGCTCTTATTCCTTCCTTTTTGTTCGGCATTCATACTTCGTTGGTGAGCTCGTACGAGCGATTACAAGCCTCAAACCGATGAAGCTCCTCCTAGCATTGTTCATGACTTATTCTACCATTTATTTTTCTCTGTTCTCGTAATGAATAGTCGAATATGTATGCGTGCCCTAATTGCTTGTTCTTATCTTCCTCCTCCCATCATAGACTCGATCTCTTCTATTAGAAAGAATAGCTGCATCAATCCGCCCTTGTGTGCACTCGTTCATCCATCACATTTGCCTCCTACATGCCTCTGCTCGACCTCATTCCCCCTGAGAAAGACTGCTCCTTGCTATTTGTCACTATTGGGTCATCCATTTTACATACTTGATAAAATTCAATTGTTCCATTTTTTTCAAATATTATATTTTACAAATAACAAATATGTTTCTTTTTTTTCATATAGATATAATGATGTTTGGGTCGAGAAGATTCGATTTGGTTCAATTCAGTCATTATCGGCGTCACATGTCTAGGAGGTACATCTTAAAACAAATTGTGTTTAAGTTTATTGTAAACATCAGTATGGTGATTTTAAATCTTGTATTAAAGTTTATTTGTGTAATCAAATTTTTATTTAATATTACTAAATCTATTTGTCGTGCTTGGTTAGAGAATATTTTGGAAAAAATTGTGCATTGCTAAAATTGCATTTGTGAAATTTTTATTTACTTAAATCATATTTTAGTTTTTGGAAATCAAATTTCTTAATTACTGAAATTGATATTCAAAATTGTTGAATTTGGGATTTATATATGCTAAAATTGCATTTGTGTTTTGCTAAAATCAATTTTCATGTTTGCTGCAATCAGCTTTCTTAATTACTGAAATTATTTGTGATAGTTTGAGCACGACACTTTAATCTTTCACGCATTATAAATGTATTAGTTAAATATATTAATCAAACTTGGAATATTTATGTTACACTTCTTAAAAAATAATTCAAGTTCTTTAAACAAAGTGTCTCACCCATATTCTCTCATGCATATTTTAAAGCATTTATTTATATACATTTACAAAAGTAATATCATTTATAATATCTTGATCACTTCTTTACAATATTTATACATATTTGTAACTTCTAATATAGCCTTTATCATATACAAATTAAACATAAATAAAAAAATTTACATAATCAAGTAGGACATATGCATCAACTTTTTGCTCGCTCTAGATCCGTCTTGTATTACTATTTCAATAACCACAATTATAGATAAAAAATAATGAGTGAACAAGAGTTTGAACCTTAACAAGCATCTCTTGGCCTTTAAAGAGTAATTTCCTGATTCAAATCTCTACATTTGATAACTCCTCCACTTTTACTTGCTCAATAATTTTGTTATAATATTTTTCTCTTATTATATATATTTTTTACACGAACAACTAATAATATATATTAAATTAGTAACTATATTAAAAATGAAGTAAATTGGACACATTTTTTTTATAATGGTAATTAATGCTGATAGGAATTGATGCGTACATAATAATGTACATATTAGGATGAACACTTTTCTTTCAAGCTCAATATTTTTAGTTCATTAAACTCACAATGTATTTTCATAAGAAATGAAACACACTGGTTATGATAATATTTTATGTAAGGGGATATTTGATTGACTATATATTTTCTTTTACATGAACAACTAATAATATATATTAAATTAGTAACTATATTAAAAATGAAGTAAATTGGACACATTTTTTTTTATAATGGTAATTAATGCTGATAGGAATTGATGCGTACATAATAATGTACATATTAGGATGAACACTTTTCTTTCAAGCTCAATATTTTTAGTTCATTAAACTCACAATGTATTTTTCTAGCTCCATCATAATCTTGTCCAAACAGTTGTGTCACAATCAACATATATATTTGTAAAAAGTGTTTCAATAGCCTTCTTTAGTGTTGAAGTGTATATCTCGACTATATGAACAATTATAATAAAATGCTCAATAACACAACCTCATTTATCAACATAATGCAATGCATTGCAACTTGCTCTTTGATTGATATAGCATAGAATTCATCTAACAAAATTATGAATACATCATTTTTTTAATTCATTAACTATAACATTTAAAATTGCTTACGAAGTTATCTTCTTTAACTCTTTACACCCACTTAAGATGGATAACTACCTTGCAAGATTAAAAGTTTATGATAAGTAAATTATATATTTACATCATTAAATATAAGCACTTATCAAAATAATCACACGTGCATCTTTATTCATAATCTATGATAATAAATTCGTACTCTTTAGTACTTTTTGCTCCTACAACTTTGGATCATTGATGCTCTCTCATTAAAAAAAAAAAAACTCTATATATCTCTTTCCTAAGTATAATTAATATGGCTTCATAAGTATCATAGGTACTTAGTGATATTGCTTATCCAATTACATTATCCCAGGCTGGGAAATTCTTCTTTTTGAATGTGGCATTGTATAGGATTATGTCTCTCTTCAATACTTTTATTATATTCTCCTATGATATTCTATCTCTATAGCTTCTAAAAAAATATTTCATCGCATACAATCATGAGAAGTATTTCTATGAAAATAGCATTGCATTTATTATAGTTGAAGAGAACATCATGTGCAAAGAAATACATCCCAATCTTATATATATATATATATATCAATGAGAGAATGATAGAATTTCATTTAAAGAAAATCATAATAAGTAATACTTAAAAAAATTGTCTTAGATTTGAGTAAGACGGCCCG